TCCGCCGCCTTCGCTGTCTCGCAAATGCATCGTGTGTTTGGTTTCTGTTTACTTCCGGAGGGGGAGGAGGGGGTATCGAAGAGAAGTGAGTGGTAGCAAGGAAGAGGAGGATGGAGGGGTAAAGTTAACGAGCGTTATGAAGTAATTCGAGGTTGAACTCGCAGCATTTCACAAGCCTTTGGACAACGATGGCTTCGTCTGGTGTCTTCTGCAAAACGACGTCTGGTTTGAGACTTGTTGAAGAAAGATGTTTGGATTTTTGTCTGACGAGGACGATCAACCGGCCCAAGGGTGGAGAGCTGCCCTTTCACTCACACATACGCAGTACTTCGTAGACATGCACCAAGACTCAGAGGAGTCTTGTATACTCACAGTAACCGCGAGAGGCTCTTATGTGTGCGACTCTGCAGGTCTGTCCGGCAGGTATCCTTGCATGAAGACTACCCGAGAAACATACATGGCTTCCCGACTTCTTGATTAGATCGACGAACCCCATGGCTGGGTACTGCGGCATGTACCTTGCGGCGGCGCTGCAGCCGAGCTACGTCTCCTCGCAGACCGAGCTGGATCATGAATGGACTGCGCTGCCGCTGCGGAGAGCAAGCGGAGGAGGGTAAAGCGGGAAAAAAAGCCTGTGAAAGAGAAAGGGCGTGCATATTGTTTCTCGCCCCGGGAACCACCAGACACACCAGTCAGTTTCTTGCGATGCTCATTGATGGGAAGGGCAGATGCGAGCCACAACGGCGCAACGTGCCTAATCCATGGAGCCGTCCGGGTGGGTATAGCAGAAATGGGTTGTGTAATGTGTGACTTTGTGTCCGTATGTGTGTGTGAAAGAACGGAGTATCTGGTACGCTGGTACGAATACTGGTCGTTGATTCCGCCCAATTCGACTTCGGCGCGAACGAATAGGCCTGACTAAACAACCTAGGAACCACCAAAGGAACCTAGCATAGGTATGCTGCATGCAGAGCTATTGCGACTGTACCACAAAGTCAGCGTTCTGGGAACTTTGGGAGAGCCACAGAGAGAGAGAGTGAGGGACGTCAGATGCGAACGAGTTGAGCACACCCTCGCAGCACCAATGAGGCAAGAGTTTCATGACGGGTCCCCTTGAGCTAAGGCGCCATCTCATCATACGTTCTCGTGGTTCTGGACGGGAGGGAAAAAAGGTACACTACTGGGAGGAGTGAAGGAGGGAAAAAAGAGAGAGAGAGGCAAGGGGGTTGAAGTGGGAGGGGAGGGGCGTGTGATGATGTCGTGGGTCCTTCCTCCGATGCGACCTTACGAAAAAGAGAAACGAAGCAGGAGCTTTGGGGGGAGCTGGGAGCTGGGAGGGTGCGAGGTACAAAGATACCTGACCGGTACCTGACCGGGGGTGTGGGGCCTCAAAGACGGATCTGATTAGGAGCGCCAAGGGGGCGTGTCCCGCTTGTGGGCCGGCAGGCCTGAGGCGAGAGCCGGGAGGACATCGGCCCTCATTTCTGCAGCAGAATTTTTTCCCTCAAATTGCCAGACTCTTCAATTATTATCCGCCATCCTCTCATGCTCAAGTTATCCACTAATTGGCACAAACAGGGTGGGTTTGCTGTCTCGCGGCCTCGCCTGACGGTGACACACGCAAAGAGAAAAAGCGCCGGCTCGAGAGACGCGGATCTGATAACTTTAACGCGTCCATCTCCCACTCCCACTCTCCCAGGATGTGACGAACAGATTGATGATGGGTCATGCATGTCGTGGCCTTTTCCTCAATCTCGACAAGTGGTGCCCGCCTCACATGTGGAGGGGAGGGGGAGAGCCGAACTCAAGCCCAACGTAGCACTTACTACTCTACTTAGTATAGTATAGGAGGAAACTGGGCCTTTTAACACACTTCTACTGTGAAGTGCGAGAGAAATCGGGCCCTTGGCTAAGATAGGTAGGCGCACACTGCCACACACACATGGGGTTAACGGGCAGATGGTTCCTACTCAAGATGGGTATAACGGCTCCGCGTCATCCAGTAAGCGCTCATCAAGCCCATTATCCATGAAGGGCGACGCTGTTTAGTTCCCTTCTTGGGCTCTCCCGCTACGGTGCCGCTGACAGCGGAAGCTCCCAACGGTTGCGGCATTTCCTTACGATCCTCCTCAGGGATTACCGAGAACTGCCGCGTCAACCCCCGTGGTGTTTTGTGTGATCACAGTGCTTGGCACGTCAATCCGTCATCTCCTTGCGTCCTTGAGGATATCGAGCCGGTCTTCGGGACCGACCTGCTCGGAGCTGCTCCAGTTCCGTGAGGGAAAAGTCTTCAGACGAATCCCCAGCCTAAATACTCACACCACCAACGCACTGTGGTGACCGGGCAAAAAAGTTCCGTCCTGCTGCGTTGCTTGCACCGATATTTCCGACCTATCGTTTGTCATTGATTTGTTTGGCCTTCGCTGCCGTTGACGCACAATTAGCAAAAACGAACGCACTTTTCTTGCTGCGAACGAACCATAGAACGCCATCTATCCCACTTCGGAACAGCTTCACAGACGCGGACATACGCAGAGAGACCTCAGGATCGCAAGACAACCAGAGACAGACCGTACTACCAACCAGCCAGACTACCGCGAATTCGGTCAAGTCAGACTGTTGCTCGCGAACAAGCAGACTCGCCAATTCTTGCCCTGTTATTTTTGCCCTTTCTCGGCTTTCACTCAGACGCCATGGGCCTCACCGTTCTACCCGCTTTAATCCCCGACATCCCCCAGGTGTACGATGCCTATTTTGCGGCCTTCAAGGGGTCGGTAATCCTCGACATCCTGTTTCCGACGGGGATTGACGAGGCTTTCCGTGAGGGTCATACGAAACACACTGTCGAGTACTGGCACAAGACCAGCACCCAGTACACCATCAAGTGCGTTGATGTCGAGACTGGCGAGGTCGTCGGCATGGCCCTTTGGGACGCATTTCTCAAGGAGCGCACACCAGAGGAGTACAGGAGCCCTGGCGCCGTTTGGCTCCAAGGCGAGCAGAGAGCTCGCGCCGATGAGTTAATCAACCCGCTCAGCGCAGCCAAAGAAAAGCTTTGGGCTGGCCGAAAATACGTTTGTGAGTGGGACCCGCCGTGAACTCCCACGTCCTCCTTTTCCCGATCCCTTCCCCTTGCACCCGGTTCGCGCCTTTTTTTTGTTTCTTCAGGCTTTTCGAGACATACCATGTGAACCCCAGTTGCTGATGACACACGCTTATGCGTTTTCCCCGGGAACAGACTGTCATATTATTGCAGTGAAGCCTGAACACCAAAGAAAAGGCGTAGGCGCCCTTTTGACGAAATGGGGCCTCGATATGGCCGAGCTGGCGGGACTTCCCGTCTACCTCGAGTCGTCTGAAGAGGGATTCGGCCTCTACAAACGCCTGGGCTTTGAAGTGCTCCAAGACAAGATCGTGCACCGCGGAGGGCTGGTGGGCAAGGATAAGGACGTTGAAGTTCCTCTGATGGTAAAGATGCCGTCTGCAGCCAAGGGTTTGACTTTCGAAGAGTGGCGTGCTCAAGGATACCCGTCTTTCCAATAAGCTTTTCCTCCCTTTCGTGTGGCTGTGTTGGCTGGCTGGACGCAGTATCCGTACGCTTTTGGACGTGGAATCTGCGATGTCAGCAGGATTATCAGATCTTACCTTTTGGGAGTCTTGGAGGATGGATCCTGTGTAACGACTCAATGAGTGTCATAGACTAAAGGTAGACGTTGGATCTTCTGGAAGCGCCAAGACGAAAAGCGCCCAGGAAACAAAGTGCCAAGACGAAGCCAAGACGAGGCAAATCTGCAAGTCAATCTGAAAGAAAGGAAAGTTGGCTGTACCTGGATTATTGTGCGATGGTGCATGGCTTGGCTTGGCTTTGTATTGTATTTGACGAAATATTAACCGTGCCCTTGCTCGCATGAAAAATAGAAGTCGCTTGGTCTTTCACCCTGCGTGGCCGAGGGACGCGCCACACCGCACCCGACGACTGCAAGTGGGAGGAAACGGGATGAGGGGGTGGTACCGTGGTTCATGGGGTCGGGTGAGGGAGGGGATTGATGGGTTAAGGTGAAGGGTGCTGGACGATACCGCGATGGTCCAGTATCAGATGGAATCATGGCGTGAGAGAGACAGAGGCGCTAGAGGCAGAGGTACCGATACTGACGACTTGTTTCCTGCCCATCTGCCCACATCGGTCCCAAGGTTAGAAGGTGGGTGAAGAAGGGGGGTGGGCAAATGCAACCTGACGTCTTTGGCGAGGCGAGTGAACGGCGATCGGTGGATTGGCGTGGTGTTAATCTTCAAGGATGATGGAATCTGAAGAATTGTCCCGAAGTCGGAGAAGGGGTGACTGGGAGGGTGTGAGGGAAAGAAATGCAGCGGGACATTTTCGGGAAACGAAGGTACATGGGTACGTATATCGGTACGGATTCTCCGTACCTTTTCTTGGTGCGGTACTGGAGAGAATGTGGAAGGAGGGGTCCAGTGACTCTGTACCACGGGTGCCCTGTAGGGGAAGCTTGGGGAGGTACCTCAGACGATGTGGGAAGCTGAGGAAGGAGGATGGATGGAAGCGAGAGAAAATTTTGCACGCTGAAGAACGTGAGTGAAATGCTCCTTCCCTAATCTTATCTGATCCAAGATTTGATTGATTAGATCGAGCACTGAACCTATCCGAGGTGGTGACAGGGGATGGTGGCGGGTACAGCGGGGTCCCTTTGGCTGCCATGTGGGGTCTCACTATTTTCTGAGTGGCTGCACCGCTGCAGTCCCGGCGCAACTGGCGATGGAGGGGAAGGAGCTGCAAACGCCATTGACCAATTTGAGACACGACCCTAAGTTCCTCCACATTCAATGCAATCACACATGTCAACTTTTCAAGACTCGAGAGCATCCTGGGACCTTGGACCTTACTCTGACACACCCACACGTATGATCCATCGCGATCCCACTCCTCCCACGCTCTAGACTCGCTGTCAGCCCGCCCAATACACACGAATACGTGACAAAGTGACAAAGTCCGCTCGCTGGCAAGCACACATTTCCTAACAAGTCTCGTGGCTCCATCGAACCCATCTGCTCGTTTTGGTGTGTCACTATGTGTGTCCTCGCATCGCCAATCGAGTCGCCCTGTCATGACGCGAGTAGCCTTTTCGACCGTTCGTATACGCCCCTCAACACTGGGAATACTCGAGAATACTCCAGGTACTTGTCGTGAAACAATTGCCCGTTCGGTCTAGCCCGTCGCTGGCTACATACGCAGGGCAAGGTGAAAACCTCCAAGGAAGAAAAGAAGCAATCCCAGCTAAGGTTCTGCGCCGTACGATTACTTGCGTGCAAGTTCGCAACGTCCCGCTGTGTGGCGCCCGATCTTGGTGGCCGGCAAAGCAGCACGGCCAACACCTTAACGGGCTAAAGCCCAGCCCAGCGGCAGCGGGGGTGGAAGAGACCTCGCTTGCGGCTTGCCTCCTTGCTGGATCCAGATGATCCCCGAAAGCCGTTCCTCGGTGACGCAGATGCAGGGCCCTTTGGACATGGGTCGTCTCTGCCATCTGGACCCAGGCCAGTTATTTCTGCCATGCGACCCGAGAGGATGGCCGGCGTTGCACCTAGGTCGTGGTGACACTTTTTTGGACCTGCCATAGACAAACATTTCGACCAAGACCAAGACGTTCAATTTGTCTTCCGTAGTGATTTCGTTAAGCAATTGAAGCATTTATTCAGTAATTATTCGTCGACACAATGGCCGCAGAAGCATCAACAACCCCGGTATCCGAGCCTTTGGCTCCCACTCAGAAGCTGTCCATCCTCCACGGACCCCGCGATCCTCCTCTGGTTGACCTCAGTCTCGGCGAGCTGCTGGAGCTCCAGACATACCAACATGGCACCAAGGAATGCTTGGTGATTCCTTGGACCGGTGCACGATGGACCTACAATGAGCTCAACCAGCAGAGCTTGCTGCTCGCGCAGGCCCTACTCGAGATGGGCATCAAGGCCGGTGACAGAGTCGGTGTTATGGCAGGCAACTGCGAGCAATACGCCGCCATCTTCTTTGCAGTCTCTAGAATCGGTGCTATTCTCGTTATTCTGAACAACACGTACACCCCCAGCGAGGCCATGTACGCTGTTGAGTTCTCAGGTTAGTTACCAGTCTAACAGTTGCTGATTTCCGAGCTAACTCCGTTATTCAGAATGCAAGATTCTCTTCACCACCAAGCAGATTGGCAGACTCGACAACACCAAGTTCTTGGGCCAAATAGCGAACAAGATCAATGGGCCCAAGATTGTCATGATTCGGGGCGACACGAGCGGATATCAGACATACGACGACCTCATCAAGTCGAGCTCAAGACAGAGCCCGAGAGAGCTTCACCTGGCCATGAGCAAGGTGGTGCCGCATCAAGTATGCAACCTCCAGTTCACCAGTGGTACCACTGGCCGTCCCAAGGCCGCCATGCTTACCCATCAGTAAGTGCGATCAAGCTGATAGAGGAGGTCGAAGAGGCTAACTTTGGATTCAGCAACGTCGTTAACAACGCTCGTTTCATTGGTGATCGCATGCGCCTCACCCCGGACGACGTGCTGTGCTGCCCTCCCCCTCTGTTCCACTGTTTCGGTCTTGTCCTCGGCCTCTTGTCTGTCATCACGCACGGTGCCAAGATTGTTTACCCCGCGGAAGTTTTCGACACCAAGGCGACACTCAAGGCCATTCTCGAGGAGGACTGCACAGCACTCCACGGCGTGCCTGCCATGTTCGATTCCCTGTTCCAGGCAGCACCTGATGACTTCAAGTCATCCAAGATCCGCACCGGAATTGTGGCCGGCGCCCCTGTCCCAAGATATCTGATGGAGTTGATGGTCAACCGTCTCGGTATGAGAGAGTTCACCAGCAGTTACGGTCTGACCGAGGCATCGCCTACCTGCTTCAACGCCTTCACCGACGATGCTTTGGGTAAGAGACTGACCACCGTCGGTACGCTCATGCCCCATGCCTCGGCCAAGATTGTCGACAGAGACGGCAACGTTGTGCCCATGGGCCAGCGCGGAGAGCTTTGCATGGCCGGGTACCAGCTGCAGGCTGGCTACTGGAATAACTCGGAGAAGACCAACGAGGTCATGGTCCGTGACTCTGCAGGTGTCTTGTGGCTGCACACTGGTGACGAAGCCGTCTTTGACGACGCCGGATACTGCTCAATCACCGGCCGCTTCAAGGACATCATCATCCGAGGTAAGCTATAAATGTCCGTCACGCAACAACAGCACAATGTACTAACAACTTTCTCCCTTCAGGTGGCGAGAACATCTACCCGCTCGAGATTGAAGAGCGCCTCATGGCCCACCCGTCCATCTCCCAGGCCATCGTCGTCGGCCTCAAGGACGAGCACTACGGCGAGGTCGTCGGTGCCTTTGTGCAGCGCGCCGAGAACGCGGACAAGCCTTCATTCCAGGAGCTCAAGGACTGGGTCCGCCAGCGCCTCGGCGGCCACAAGAGCCCTGCGCACATTTTCTGGCTCGGTGAGGATGGCGTGCCGGCCAACGTGCCCCTCACGGGCAGCGGCAAGGTGCGCAAGTTTGAGATTGCCAAGGTGGGCGACGAGATTCTCAAGAAGAGCAGAACCGTCTCTGCCAAGTTGTAAGATTGCGGTCCTCGTAGGATATCTTGCCGAGGACGGCGTGGAGTGTGTTCAATGAGTGATACCACACAAAAGTTGTCGTTTGACCATTTTCGTTATTACTATTTCATGTCAGGCGATGGCTTCTGTTTTTTGGGGTTTTGGAATTTGGCTTAGATTTTTTTAGACCCATAGGATTACTGAACGTGTCGTTGAATTGACTTCTCGTCACACTCCCATGTGGAGTTAGCTTGTGCAAGTCATCCTCAAAGGCTCAAACTTTGTTTTTTTACCTGTATTCTCAAAGGCTAATTGTTTTTCGTCACATTCGGCCCCCTTTGAGAATCGCGTTCACTGGGAGTATGCTTGCCCCGATCAAGGCTTAGCATCCAAAATCGCGATTGCGTGATGAGAAACCCGATGGTTTGGGGCGAACCCACATAAGTGAGGCCAAAAATCGAATCCTTCAATTGAGGCCAAATTCGACTACAATCGTCTGTGAGGATGTGACTCATTTTCAACCCTCTTTTTTGATCTCATTCAGGAAGGTCGGGAATTTTCATATTGCCGTAGCTTGTTCATCTGGTTTTATTGGAAGACTCATTCGGGTCAACTTAGTGATCTCAATTAAGTAAGGGGACTATTTTGACAGGTAGATGTGCGCAAAGGTACGGATCTGAATGCTGGATATAAGTGACCGGAATCCAGCTTCAATTAAAACCACGATCAAAACACCACCAACACATCAGTAGCCAATTCCTCAATTCACCCAACCTATTCCCGTCCAAAATTGCACCTAAGCTAACATTCAACAAACTTCGTCCAACAAGAAGAGGGAACAACCACAATCACTTCACTACAATGTCTCAATCCAACCACGAGCCAAACTCCCAACCGCCATCCCCCTCTCCTCTCCTCCTCTCCCTCGCAAAATGCTATCCTCACGATCCAGCCCACTTACACAAAGTCCTCCTCCCGCAACTCACCCACCGCCTCCGCCTCGCCTCCCTCTGGTCCATCGCCCCCGGCAGCCGCGTCCTCGACATCGGCTGCGGCCAAGGCGACTCCGCCCTCGTCCTTTCCCAAGCCGTAGCCCCACTCTCCATCACCGCCGATGGTGACGCCAACAACGCCAGCCCGGGCCCGGGCCCGGCCGGCCACATCACGGCCCTAGACCCGGCACCCGGCGACTACGGCAGCCCCTACACCCTCGCCCAATCCCAATCCCACATCTCCTCCTCCCCCTACGGCGCAGCAATCACCTTCCACCAGTCCGACGCGCCGACCTACCTCGCATCGCACCCTTCCTCAGCCTTTGACGCCGCTACGCTCTGTCATTCGCTGTGGTACTTCCCCTCCGGTGCCGCAATCACCTCCCTCTTCGAAGTCCTCTACAAGCCCAACGTCTCCAAACTCTGTTTCGCAGAATACGCAGTCAAAGCCCGGACTCCCGCGCAGAAACCGCACGAACTGGCCGTCGCGGCGCAGAAGCGGTTTTATGCGCTGCGGGCTGGCGCGGAGAAGGGGTTGAGTCTGGACCAGGGCAACGTCCGCGGCGCGCTTGCACCTGAGGAGATTGTGAAGTTGGCGGAGGGGGCTGGGTGGAAGGTTCGGGAGAGGGGTGTTGTTGATACGCCTGGGTTGTTGGATGGGGCATGGGAGGTTGGGGTTGTGGTTGATGCGTCGTGGGCTGAGGAGGTTGTCGCCGAGGGGTTGGGGAAGGATGAGGAGGAAGAGTTGTTGGGATATGTGAGGGAGATTCGGGATGCGGTTGAGGAGGCTAAGAAGGGTGGTGGGAGGGTTGAGACCATGGATGCTGTTTGGGTTGTTATGGAGCGTTGAACGTGTTGTTCGATCAAACGTGACGCAATATTGGAGAAATCATATCAAACGCGAAGAATGAGTACGCGTTCAGAGTGCTTCGTACAATATTAAGCAACGATGCCCAGAGATGATACCAAGTAACGATGTCGAACGCGCCTTGACCGCCATGGCCGTCCCGGATAATGAAATTCCGCTCTATCGGCAATCGCCTTTAAGCTAGATTTTTTGTTGGTCTGCTTGACGTCTACAGAGATGAGACGCTCAAAGTCATGTTCTGAATAAGTAGCACATGATATATTTCAAAAGAACCTGGTAAGTGTCCCAATGTCCACTAGGGTTCGTAAAGGGGATGCATATCGTGAGAGTTATAATGGATTGGTAGAGGCTGGCTAGACAATGTGCCAGAGGTAGGGTCAGATAGATGCCATGATATCATGGACGCAAGTATCGCAACAATACAGTTACAGGCGATAGTCACCCTGAAAGGGGAGGGAGACGTGCGGCGTTGAGTTATCTACAGCTATCGTGGGAGCGACTTACACCCCCCGGAACCGCCTATATCTGATCCTTCTCTTAATCACGATATTTCACTGAAGAAGTCTTAAGGATAAATAACAGCAGAGCATCTCACCTACTTGGTGGGTATCTTGTCTAGGTACTTTGAGATAGTTTGCACCTACCTCAAATGTTAGGTGGCTTCTGCTCATAAAGCTGATGACCAAATGGAAGATAAGGTAGGGTAGGTACTTTCTTTTTGTACCACATAAATCAAGGTAGGTTCTGCCGGCACGTTTCTTACGCTCTGTTCAAATAGGCCTTCTTCGTGAGCGACCTGCTCGACCCCTTGACTTCTCACTCAATCTTCATGGATATGCTCAACGGTGTTCATCTTCATTCGCCAAGAACCCATAAGGCTACCATTGCAAGTAACGACTTGTCCGCAGATCTCATCAATGGGGCTCTCCCATCGTGTGGTCGTCTCGGCGCGACTATCCGTCCGGACTCCGGGATCCGGATCCCGAGGACACTTTTAACCTTGAAGGGGATGCG